ACAAAGTACAAAAATGTGAGTGTAAAGACAGTCACAGTATCTGGAAACAGTGTTTACTTTCTATTCATAAGTTCTTGATTCAATTATTATCAATTTCCGAACATAAAAGTGCGTAGATATTTTATGAAAGCTGGAAAATGAGTTGGAGGTCTCGTGAGATTTGGAAGCCATTATACGAGATATATCATTATCTTCGTACGATTATTAAAAATTTCCCTCGAGTTCCAATTAATAGTTTTCCTACTATTTTATCTCGTTTCTTTTTGGTTTTTCTGGACGTTATTTCTAGTTGGTATAAAATAGAAATACTGTGATTATAAAATAATATGAGAGTATATTTCACTTCTTATTTCTCCGCACCAGATCAACTCTAATGAACTGGTCTCGTGAAATTAAATGGTGTCAAATTAAGCAAACTATTTGATTAATTGGTGTTTCTTATGAATTATCATGTATTCTTAATCATATTATGCATATAATTAAGATTTTAACCAATCATAAATGTCCATGTATGTACAATCTGGATAAAAAAAAGACATTTTGACCTTTCTTGATCGGCCACTCATTGGAATTCTGCTGGTAATTCTCTTCTAATTTAACTAATTATGAATTAATTATGGACATGTGAGACCAACTGGTATTTTTCCAAGTCATTAGAACACCTCTACTTTCTATTCATATAAGTATTAGCATTTTCATTTTCATACATGAAAATAAGGGAACCATCTTTAAGGACAAATTTTCTTTTTGCCAATGATTGGGTTAATGAATTGAAATGATGTTATTAGTCCTGCAGTTCTGCATTTCATTGAGCATCTTCACAATGTCAAGGTATTACAAACCTTGTCTTATACCTTGACACATCTTCACAATGTCAAGGTATTACAAACCTTGTCTTATACCTTGACACATCTTCACAATGCTAAGGTATTACAAAATATTCATGTATCACAGAATGCAGTGATTTGATTGGATTATACGCCATCAAATATAGCCAATCAGAGCCTCAAGAGAAAGACTGTAAAAGTCATTGCTTATTGTTAACAGAATTTCTGTCAAGAGCCTGTTGATTTGGTTGTATTTACCAGTCATGACTGAATATAGCTCTAGACTGTTGATTTGGTTGTATTTACCAGTCATGACTGAATGTAGCTCTAGAATGTTGATTTGGTTGTATTTACCAGTCATGACTGAATATAGCTCTAGAATGTTGATTTGGTTGTATTTACCAGTCATGACTGAATGTAGCTCTAGAATGTTGATTTGGTTGTATTTACCAGTCATGTCTGAATATAGCTCTAGAATGTTGATTTGGTTGTATGTACCAGTCATCTCTGAATATAGCTCTAGAATGTTGATTTGGTTGTATTTACCAGTCATGACTGAATATAGCTCTAGAATGTTGATTTGGTTGTATTTACCAGTCATGTCTGAATATAGCTCTAGAATGTTGATTTGGTTGTATTTACCAGTCATGTCTGACTAGAGCTCTAGAATGTTGATTTGGTTGTATTTACCAGTCATGTCTGAATATAGCTCTAGAATGTTGATTTGGTTGTATTTACCAGTCATCTCTGAATATAGCTCTAGAATGTTGATTTGGTTGTATTTACCAGTCATGTCTGAATATAGCTCTAGACTGTTGATTTGGTTGTATTTACCAGTCATCTCTGAATATAGCTCTAGAATGTTGATTTGGTTATATTTACCAGTCATGTCTGAATAGAGCTCTAGACTGTTGATTTTGGTTGTATTTACCAGTCATGTCTGACTAGAGCTGTAGACTGCTGATTTGACTGTATTTACCAGTCATGTCTGACTAGAGCTCTACACTGTTGATTTGGTTGTATTTACCAGTCATGTCT